TGTTTATTTATTGAATAACCAGTAACCATGCTATCGTGTGAAATATATTTTTACCGAGATATGAAACAACCTACATTGGGATAGATGCTAGTAGCCACTTTGGCCCAGCCCTGGATATACTGTATACGTTCATCAGATATACAACTGTGCACTTTATACATATTATTTTAAATTATATATGTGCTTGTTAGTAAATGTTTAAAGTAAGGTGAAGGTACTATTCAAAATGTACAATAAAATGATTGAAAGTTTAGTATTGTTTTTTTTTTATGTCTTCAAATATCAGTTTAAATAATAGACTTAGAGGCCTGACTTAATCAAGCCTGTTCTTCAATAGAAATCTTTTAAACTGTTTACAGTATCCACTAATATACTAGATGCATGGTAAACAACAGCATGCGTGAGTGTGGACGTACACACACGTCGGCTCTAAAGTGGGTGAGAGTATGTGTGTGGTTTCTGTGGTGCAGCCAGAGCCTGTGAGGCCACCAGACAACTGGGTAAACATACGGAGCCCCCCCCCCTCCACCTGTCTGCCCTCCGTGCTCACATCAGTGAGCTTTTAGCACCAAGTCATAGGTCCAATGTTAATGCCTAACGTTCAAACAGGCTGACGGTAAACTTTACACAGAGCAGTCTTTATCACAGATATCCAGTTCTCCTTGTAATAGTACAAAACCTTGACCCCAATGCTCCAAGTGTCTCAAAAATAAATAATACACAATGTAGTTCTAAGTCCACACATGTCTGAAAAAGTGCATTCAGAATGGCTAGATGGACAAAAGAAAAAAAATTCGAATCGTATCCGATGACTGATAGCACTTATGATGAGGACAGTGTTAGAATATCCCGCAGTGAAGTGGTGCGTTCCCATTACTGCATCTCTCCATCTCGGAAAATGGCTTCATTAACAGGCCAGAGCAGAGAGCTCCCTTGCCGAGTGTATGAGCACGCTGTACCCCGAGGGTCCTCCGGAATGGCTGAGGTGAAGTCCATTAGCACCCGACAGCTTGTTTTTGACCACTAAATAAAACAGGGTATTTTTCTGTGTCTGCAGTATAAATAGCCTTTAGCTCAGGAGCCCGCAAGCGCACATTTTCGGGTTTAAAGACTTGGTTCTAAGAAGAAATAAGATTGGGATCCTGATACTGTCATATTAGATATTCATCTAAACCAAGGTGAAATTTTAAAGCCTTACATGAAGAGCAATGTCACACTAAGTAATGGACCAAGAAAAAAGCAGATCATGCCATAACTTGTCTAGAGAGTGGCCCAGCAGGATCTAATGAGTTTTAGTTTTTTTGTCAGAAGTAATTTAAGCTCCCGTTTAACTGCCACTGTGGGCTTAATCAGAATACAACAGGGTATAATGTACCAACAAGTATTGAGTGTTTTTCCTATGTCACCATCCAATGTAACTTGCTCTGGATCAGTGTCCCCTAAATGCCTAAAAGTGATGTCAATGTCTATATCTAAACGGTGGCGAGTGGGCGGGGATGTGACAGCTCGAAGAGATATAAAAACCATGCGAAGATAAATCCATATCTCACATAACCTGTCCTGTTCTTCTGGCATACTTCACAATCCCTTAGGAAAGTTAGCTACCTCTGAGCGCATGACATAGCACTTACTTTTCCCAGTATATGCACTCCAATCATGTGTCATCTGATGAAATGCTACACCCTAGTCACCATTATTCGTCTGGATACAGGAGCCTCTGGAATGTATCGGATTCCTGCCTCAGGGGGAAGGCACCTTGGAAACATGGTCCTACCTCCACCAGCTAGCCTCTCCCCCTCTCCCACTCTCTTCGTCTATCTTTCCATTCAGCAAAATTCCACTAGAGGCTTGTTTGATTTACACCGCTTCATCGCCCATCAGACATGTGTTCACATTTTTGACGTACGTCTCACAAAAGCAGGACATGTGATGGACAGTTTAGAGATCTGGGACTGTTTTCCAGCTGTCTGTTGCCTCCTTCACGTCAAAGTCCCTACCAAAGGGTAAACATCTCAATGAACGTTAACCCTATGCTACACTTGATGCTTGGTTCCATTACCTTTCATGCTTGAGAACAAGCACAAGAGCTCTACAAATTGGAAAACTATTTTGCCCTCTAGTGCGTCATTGGTACAACAACTCTTAACCTATCTCCTCTCTCCAGAGAGCAACAGTTATGCAGAGCAGTACTCAGGGCCTGTTGTATTGAGTATATCTGAGTCACTGGCCTGCGTAATTCAGTCTAGGGAATTATGACAGTGGAAAATCATTTCCCTGGGCCAGGGATAGGAGGCCATGGCTAATCGTTCAGTAATCTGATCTGCCTGCATACTGTAGCATTCAGCCCCACCGCTAGCCTAGCCAGCCAGTCACACATGTGGACACCCCCAGTGCCTGCCAACTATCTGATGGAGGCTAACACTATTGGAAAAAAAACTCTCCAGGTTTTCCCGAGGATTACTGATGCTATCGGATCATTTGCTAATACTCGGTTGTGCTGTGCTGTTTGAAATGTATTTACTCTGCTCCTACTCTCCAATACCCCTCGCGATTGCAAAGCCTAAGCCAACAAATGCCGCAGCCACATTCCAGGCAGAAAAAGGCACTTCAATACAAACTACCTTACAGCTATGAAAAAATCTGATTTTGCCTCTGGTGTAATAATCCAAAAGATTTACTAAATGAGCAACATCCAAATGTGTCTGTCAAACAGCAGGCTATTTGTGGTACACTTCTAATTGTAGATTCCAGTATCTGGTGGAGCCAGTGCTGTTGTAGTAGTATATGAATAAGAACCATAGGGAGCAGTACTGTGGCACAAAGCAGTGCTTATACCCAGTAGAACGGGTTGGGGAGGGCTTGAGTTTTGGAAAGATGCCTGGCTTCAGCCCCTCGCTAAAGAGAGGTCTGCACCCCACACACACAGTGTAGACACAAGGGGCACTGACATGGAAAAATACAAGAGATGACATGTTGTGGGGCACTGAAGTTCCCAACAGTTACCTTGTGTAAAGCATTAAATGTGATGGTATAGTTACCGCACTATAATTAAACTTACATCCTCCTGTGGAGAGGAGTAGCAGTAAAGCAGCCAGCGCAGTGAATGACAACAACATTCCTCTTTCTCTTCCCCATTCAAGCCTAAAATGATGAATTGTCTGTGATCATGTCTTATTCTGATAAATGGCCAAACACCTTTTGGTTGAGCAATTTGCCATATACTGTCATGCAGCGAGTATTTTATCAACCTCCATGTGTAGGCATTGTAACCCAGTTAAAGCATTTCTCAGGCATATCTAAGTGAAGAGATGCTGATATATGATCAAATGGCTGCGGCAGCAGTGGCAGCCTTCATCAACTGCAAGCGATAGATCACAGCATGTTTGGCAGTCGGTGGGAGCAGTCAGATGGAGGGTTAGAACAACCAGACAAACAGTTGGCAGAGATAAATAGTGCAACTTAAGATTCGGCTCTCCAGAAATGTGCCAAACAAATGACAGCAGCAACAATCTTTTTTTATTTTATCTGCAAATGGAATAAGCCCTACATATTTATTTCCCCCACCCATGTACAACACACGGCTTGGGTATAGCAAAAATGTAACGCATTGGTCAAATGAATCTAATGATCTATGAAACCAGAAGGACAACACTTTTCAGTTACAAGAATGTCTTCCGCAGCCGAGCCGAAATGCAGGAAAAGTCCTTATGACTTTGCCAAATACATTTAGAGAGTGACTCATTCTCCTTTAGTAATCTCTTACTCACATAGGTGCACGCTTGCACGCGCACACACCCCAAGGCAACAGATTTCAGGCAGGTCTGGACTGCCCCTTTTTGCTACACAGCAGAGTCAAATGTTTATAGTATTTAATAGATGCAGCCTTCTTTGTGGAGATACACAACCAAGCAAAACAAAGCAGCCACATGCAGTGAAGAGGGATCTAATGTAAGGACACTGCATCATTGTTAAACAGGCACTGTGCCACATGCAAACAAACAAAAGTATCACAAAAAAAACACTAATAAATGGGTGTATATCTTTGTCAACAGTGCATCCCAAACTACTTGTAGGAATAGTAAAACTGGACCTAAGCAACTGCATAGGTAGAATTGTCTTTTTTTGCTTTGTTTTTTCCCCTCTAAAAAACAGTGTTTATGGTTGGGAATTTTTGAAAATCTTGTTAAAGGTTCAATATTGGTAATAATCCGTCTGCAGATGATTCCTACAGGTAGCTACACTATAGTCAGTCTGATGCATCATATGTCAAAACACAGAGCCTGTCATCACTGCTGATAATTAAGTCAACTTCCCAGAAATCATTTGGACAAATTGGATAACGTTAAAGCGGCTGTTGCATTCCCATGGTAATCTTTTATCCACCTCTGTCATGTGCAGAGCTATTAGATTAGGTGGCGAACAATCTTATCGACCTTTAATTATAATTTGCACACAAAATCGTTTGGCCTTTTCATTGCAAGACACACATTAGACTGCAACGTCTGTGGAGTAATTGATCATTGTTGGCAAATTGTTCAAGCTAACTTGAGAAAAACATTGGAAAAATACTCTATAAATCTCAGCAAGCTCTAAAGTTACACAAACAAGTTCCCCGCTTGTCTCTGATACCGGGCTGCACTACGGTATCCGGTTGGATAAAGGAATTCCAATATTAAATCACAGAGCCGAGCAGCCGGACACAGCTCTATCCTGTGCACAAACTTCGACCAGACCCTCTTCAAAAATAACGTTAGCCTCCTTTCTCTGCTGCCAGACGGACGAGCTAAAAGCTGCACCGAGCCTCCACTACTATGTCACCGGGGCTTTATGTACCAGCCAGGGGGGAGTCAGGCCGAAAAACTGGCCTCATTCTCCGTGTGCACCAGACAATGTTCACTAGCCTGGCCTGGGAGACCGAGCGGCGGGGCTCTCGGTCGTGCAGGCTACTAAACATGTGCGAAAACACGGCGACGAGACTAGCGTTGTGTCGATGGACTCACCTTGTTTTGGGTTAGGAGGATTTGGTACAACACAGTCCGTTTGGGGTGGCTGCAGGGTTGTAGCACGCTCGGCGCATGTCGTCGTCGTCGTCTCGGTTTGCTGTCTGCCGTGATGTGGAAGCGGCACCGCGGACTCGGCTGGGAGAAACCGAGAAATCTGAGAATGCCCCTCTCTTTCTGCAGCTCAGTGCACCGGCACTGCTCATAACTGTCGACAGGAGGCGCCAGCACAGCACATTTTTTTGTCTCTGATATGCGCATACATGCATGGGCAGTCTTCACAACTCCTCAAAGAAATCACCTGTGCGATCATATTAAAGCACGGGTATATGAAGTGATCTTACTACTATACTCTACCAAAAAGATAATTTGGCAGTGATATCATGGTGAAAGTTTGAATGATTCCTATTTCTTAGGAACAGGAGCTCAGGGATATTTTTGATCAGTCACCATACCATGCAGATTACACGACAAGCGCCTATGCAAAACTGTGGATTTTTTAATTGAATAATCTCCAGCAATGCATCAAATTGAAACAGTATTCATATGTCTACTCTGTACAATGTCATTGGTAGCCTACTGATAGATATCTCATAGATAGATAGATAGATAGATAGATAGATAGATAGATAGATAGATACTTTATTCATCCCAAATTATTTTGTTATATAATAACAAATATAATATATATATATATATATATATAGTGAGTGACCTAATATTACTAAAGGTAGGCTACTGCTTTGACAATTTAAGGCACTATGCTACTATACTTTGTATATGTTTTTGAAGGGAATAAGGCACTGCTTATTGCTAGCCTACAATGAATGGACATCAAACATAACTGTTAAACATGGTTTCAGGACAACAAATAGCCTAAATGTTTTTAATAAATGAACACAAATTGTCCAAAAAGCAGAACTCATTTCAGTGCAGGCCTACCACATTGGATGATATCAACCAACAACACTATTCTAGAATACAATGTAATGAATTGAGCTTCAAAAAATGGGACTGTTGTGAAGAAATGGTGCACCTAGACGTCCTCTGACCTTGTGACTCATGAGGTTGGTGATTTTCATTACGGAGTGGCTAGATCAAAGTCAAAGCTATGTTTCAAAACAGCTTTGGCTGTCTCATCCACATCACATGATAGAATAGGGTCACACGACTCATTAAGACAAAGAAGGCGATGCTGAAGGCTTACCTCAGTGTCCTGCTAAATACAGGGCAAGATACAGAACGTTCCCCCAGATACAAGGGACACAGGGGGATGTGGCTAAATATTTTTCATTTAACCCTTAACCCCTGGAAATATGGTCACAGGAGCAATGCAGCCATGAGTTAATTGTTAATCAGTGTTACCTTGCTCATGAGCACAATGCAAGTGATTATACCATGAAGTTTATGAATCTAACTCAGACATTATAGGTAACAGAAAAGTTTAGCAGACTATCTTTTCTGACCTCCTGAATGGCTCTGCACTATGGAAGAGTAGTTTTTCATGCCTGCAACTATAATCCCTGTCCTTTGTGCACCATGACCTTAAATAAACATTAGGGGCTTAATGCCCATCCGTAATCTTAAAAATCCTATGACCCGCTAATTGGAGTTTCACACAGCCAACACCCTGACCTGAATTGGAACAGGTGGATAGATAAACTGTAAATGGACTACACAATTGGCTTAGAGAAGCTCACACACACCAGCTAGTCAGCCTGTCTCTGTCTCTCACTCACCCATACAATCGCAGTGGTGGAAAAAAGCAAGCTACGCACAACAGTAATTTAGCCTGCTATAGCCTACCAGGATGTGAAAATACTCTTATCCAATTCAAGTAGAATAAGAAACATTATCAACTAAATGTAGCCTGCTTGAAGTGTCAAAAGTGAAAGTATAGCCTATTCATTTCACATAAATGGCTACTCTGAATTTGCAAAGTTAGGGTGTTATCTTATTAGTGTTAATTATATTAATATGTATTGCTGTTGCATTGCAAAGAGGCATCCACATTTTGACATTGCACCAGATTAAAGGGGGCTGTGAGAAATAGTTCTAATAAATAGAGATATTGCATTAATGATAAAGTTACTATTGATAGACCTACTACTTACAGCATAATGATTGGCCAAAGTTATACACGCGTGCACACACCTTTATACCTAAACTGTTAATATCAGAGATGCTTTTGGTGCAGGAAGATATTTCTACTTTACAATATTTATATTTGTTTGTTATGGCTATGGAGAGTTTTCCTGATTAGATTATGTCTGACGGTTTATTGAAATAGGGCGACACCCCAAGGTGAAACGTGGCTCTCTGGCGCGGTGCATTGTGGTCTGACACCTCCCGCTTGGCTCACACTCTGCAAAATGGCGACGTCTCTAGGATCCAACACCTACAATAGACAGAACTGGGAAGACGCGGTATGTGTAATCGTCATTAAAGTGTACGGGACAGTGAGCGTGACTTAAACACAGTAATTTACAGTTAATTTCAAAGAGTTAACATTGCCCTAAAATCTACTAACTGGGCACAAATCTGTCCAGTTTGCTTGGTAGCCAGCTATCCAGCTATCCAGCTAGCCTAGCCTAGCGTTAGCTGGTAGAAGCGTGGCTGCTGCGTTCGTAACATGTCTCTGCTAGCTACTGTGTTAACATCATTCATAAAATATCACAACATAATCGGAACAATTGTGGATTATAAGAGATCGGCCAGAGTTGACTCGAAACAAGAACTTGATTAGTTTGACCGTAACATGTTTTGTGGTAATGCTAGCTAGTTAGCTGAGCTAATGAAGGCGACAACTAGCACCTTATGCTAACAATAATAAAACGACGTTTCCATAATTAACGTTCTCGCTAACAACTAAGCAAGTTACATGTCAATGTATAGCCGGGTAAGGCGGAACCCAGACAATCCGATACATACAAATGTGTTTGTCTGTTATTTTGGATTGGCTTAGCAATTGTAAACTCATCTTAAAGCTCGAGGTACAGTTAGCTTAGCAGCTGCTAACTGGAGGGGACCAAATTCGCTTCCTTGACACGTTACCTACACTTAAAAAAAAACATAACTTTTTCGGGGTTACAAACGGTTCTGTACAAAATGTTTCTCATATTTTAACTATGCTGGATTCTGGTCAACTAATTGATAACACCTGGTATGTAAACTAAATTGGAGATGTACCAAATCTTAAATCTTTATCGTACTATGTGGTGCATCAAGCATCCCAAGGTCTTTATCCCTACTATATAAGGCAGCAAATCAATTTGCTCTCTTTAGCCATGACACAACAGGGCATTTGGCCAATGTTGGTTTAATTAAGACACCAGAATATAAAGTGTGCAACCCTAGCCTGTGTAGTTGACTCTTGAGACACAAGAGCTGCTTATATTTGGGTGTTTGGCTGCTTCTCTCATGGTGGATTAGGGCATGGTCCTTTTCAACAGCTAGCTAGCACTTGGATTGAAACAGCATCCTTCAACAGATGGTAAAGTTGAAGTGAGTCCACTTGCCCTGATTTCACCATAGGTTTTCACTCGTGCAACATTGCTAAGGTTACTACAGCAGTAAGTGAAACAGCGTATGTTTCTGCTTTTAGAACAATTACAACAAGGGACTGCTGGATGAATAACATAAATGGTGCTTGTTATTTTAAATTGACTAAATAGAGATCTGTTTGTCTCTTGTTTTTCAGGATTTTCCAATTCTGTGTCAAACATGTTTAGGAGAAAACCCATATATCCGCATGGTGAGTTTTCATTACTTTGTATCATCATCCTTTGTAGTGTTGATACCTGTGTTTTGCTGGTTCAAGTGTTAATGCTTTGTTTTACAGACCAAGGAGAAGTATGGGAAAGAGTGCAAGGTAGGTTTTCCCGTAGTATTTTAAATCTTGGTTCTATGATACACTTAATACTTTGTTGCATGTAAGAATTTAAATACATGTATTAAACTAATTGTTTCATTCTATGCCCGTTAGATTTGTGCTCGTCCATTCACTGTGTTCCGATGGTGCCCGGGGACACGGATGCGTTTTAAGAAGACTGAGGTCTGTCAGACCTGCAGTAAAATGAAGAATGTTTGTCAAACATGTCTGCTGGACCTCGAGTTTGGTGAGTCTCATGTAATTTCTTACTTGACCTGTTTATATTTTGTATTGCTTGGTTAAGATTGTTGCTATATGAGATTAACCCTCTTGTCGCACCTTGTGTTTTACAGGTTTGCCTATTCAGGTCAGAGACACCGGGCTGTCAGTTAAAGACGAGGTTCCTAAGTCGGATGTTAACAAAGAGTACTACACACAGAACATGGAGAGAGAGGTATACTTGCTGTGCAATGCAGACAAAAACATCTTTGTTGTTCTATTTATTCTGATTTCCATAAAGCAACCATGGCTAAAACTCAGCTGCTAGGATGTCCCCAATTTCAAATATCTAAACAATAGGTATCACCTAAGTCTGGTTCCTTTTTATAAATATTATTTGTAGTATACACTTTTAGGGTTTTTACATTTTTATTTCCACATTTGGGGATGGAATTTATTTTTGTAATTGATCAATAATGTCTACTTGAACTTCTGTGTTCTTAGATAGCCAATTCTGATGGCACACGGCCAGTGGGCCAGCTGGGTAAAGCGCCCAGCTCTAGTGACATGTTGCTGAAACTGGCCAGGACCACGCCATACTACAAGAGGAACAGACCACACATCTGCTCCTTCTGGGTGAAAGGAGAGTGTAAGAGAGGGGAGGAATGTCCCTACAGGTCAGTGATACTTCAAGAAAGTTTTCTTATCTTAATTCATATTTATGTTTGAGATTTAACATACATTTATTAGTACTTATTACAATAGGCAACATTGAAAACAAATGTTCTCATGGTTAACTGTAACTTTCTTAGATATTGTTGTAGTTTTCTCATTCTGGTTGTCCTTTTCGCAAAGACACGAGAAGCCCACCGATCCTGATGATCCTCTGGCCGACCAGAACATCAAGGACCGTTACTACGGCATTAATGACCCTGTGGCTGACAAGCTGCTGAAACGGGCCTCAACTATGCCGCGTCTTGACCCACCAGACGACAAGTCCATCTCCACCCTCTACATCGGAGGATTGGGAGACACTGTCACTGATGGAGATCTCAAGTAAGGTTTTCTTACTTGTAACAACTATCAAACCCCCTGTGACAATTTGTGTTCACTAATGTTGCAAATAAAGTACAATGTGATGTTTTATCGGGACTTTATCTTTTTAAACCTTCTTACTTCCAGTGTTTTTTTATCTTTTGTACATTCATTTTTTGTTTTGTATTGCAGGAGTCACTTCTACCAGTTTGGAGAGATCCGCACCATCACCATAGTCCAGAGGCAGCAGTGTGCCTTCATCCAGTTTGCCACTCGGCAGTCAGCTGAAATGGCTGCTGAGAAGTCCTTCAACAAACTCATCATTAATGGACGGAGGCTCACTGTCAAGTGGGGAAGGTAAGAAGCTAATAATGAAGGATGAAAGTGAAGCGTCGGGGTTCCCATCACCAACTCGACCCCCAGGCGCTTAATCCACGCTCATCCTTTCTGTGGATGCAACCCTAAAAGCTCCTTCCGCCATCCAATTTTTAGCTCTCATTAAGCACCAGGTGGTGTTCAGAGAAAATGTGTTATTGAAAGTAACAGCCTAATAAAGCTACCATCACAATTGAGACCAAACTTCTCTCTGCAGCGGTTAAAACAAATTATTACAGACACAGTAAGAGCTTCAACACAGCAAATAATTTGTGCTGGGCCGGTCATTTAGAAGTTTTCTATATAATTCTGCTGCTGCACACCATTCAGTGCTGTCAAACTAAGTAAGTGATCTGTTTAAATGTTTGAGTGTATGTATTTATATAAATGTGTATTGTGTTTTTAGGTCTCAGGCAGCAAGAGGGAAGGAGGGTGTCAAAGAAGGTGTCAGTGAGATGGGCACCAGACTTGATCCTGTACCTGGACTGCCTGGAGGTGAGTGTGCTAACACAGGGACAGCTGGAATGTGTGTGTACGCATAGTGATGTAGTCATGCGAGTGCGGTTTTCAATATGCCTCTAATGTGTACATTGTGTCATTAGTTGTTCATTCATTTTCTTCTACATTGTTATCCACTGATTGATAGTGCAGATTCAAATCGCTGAAATGTATTTATTTGTCATGTTTAATCATTTGTATTTATCTTTTGTGTTTTAGCTCTTCCTCCACCTCCAGCTTTAGACGAAGAAGCTCCTGCTAACTACTTCAACCTGGACCCTAGCAGCTCTCCTGCGGTCATGAACATCGCTCTGCCCCCCCCTCCAGGCATCAACCCGCCTCCTCCAGGTAAAATCCTCACCATGTCATAGATGCAGCTTATTTCCCATTCTTAGTTGTATTGGTCAAATATCAAATTGTTACAAATTTCCCATAAACTTTAAAATTTTCATTTTGGTATTCCTGATCTGTTTTTATAGAATTACACAATACATTTTTGCGAAGCTGTTAACTCTATTTATATAATGGAAATGACTTAAACAGTGAGAAAGTGTAGATGCCCAATCCTCTAACTCTTTGTCTTTTCATCTGTTCAATCAGGTTTTGGCCCTCCAATGTTTCACCCCATGGGTCACATGGCTCCACCTATGCCCCCTCCAATGAGCATGAGACCTCCTGGTCAAATCCACTACCCCTCCCAGGATCCTCAGCGCATGGGAGCCCACGCTGCACATGGCGCACGTCAAGGCGAATAGCCCCCCGAGTGACCCCGTACTGCCATTCTGTTCCCTACTTCAAACCTGGTCAGGTGCTTTCACTTCAGATGCTGTCAGCGGGCCTGAATCCTGCAGACTACTTCTGGCAGGAAACCTCGTCATGTCTTACCGGATAACATCAGATTTATTAGGCCACCTGCAGTGAAGTGAATGAACTGAACAAGCACCATCTGTGTCTAGAGAGAAGACAGCCAGGATATTCCAAGATGACTTTGTCTCTTCTCACAGTTAATAAGTACTCGAGCGGCATCAGCAGACTTCATACACCGGCCCCTGTGATCAGGGCCAGGGTTTACACAGGCTCCTGTGTTGGAGCTGTTGTATATATTAAAATGTATACTTCTGTTTAATTAGTTTTTGTCACATCTTGCAACATGGAGTAGGATTCTGAGGAGCATTTTTAAAGCTGTTAATTTTCAGTAATTCTTTTTTTATTTGACACAATCTTAATATTCCACAGCATATTGACTTTGTTTATTGTAAGGCTTTCTTTTCAATGTTGTTTTCACTTGTCATTAAAATGAGGCCATTTTGACATTGATCATCTCAAGAGTACTTATTTTTCAATAACACTTGCTTTAGTAGAATACAGAGAAAGGGTAAAGATGTAAAGTCACAGTCTGACAACTATCAGATGGAGTCTTGGGAGTGTGGAGAGGAGGATGTCGGGGGTTGACGTAGATGGATCAGATACTGCTAAGGACAACAAAAGGAAACCACTTCAGCCCGTGGCAGCATTGTCTGAGACGACTGGCAGCGAAGGGACAGCAGCCCTCTGAGTTTACCTCATCTAGTCAGACCTCTCAGCAGCAGCAAAGCTCTTTATTTATCATGCAGGAGTGTTTTTCTCTCCCCTGTTGTGCCCGCTGATTAACGGGGATCAACTTTGTAGGAAGAGAGCAGCAAGCGGGGGTCAGTGCTTCAGTCTCTCAGCTGATGAGCTTCCTTCTCATAGTTCATTAGATTCAGGGTAGTAATCGGTTCCCCATCCCCTGGGGGCTCTGTTGAAGTTGGGCCGTCGGCACATGCGGTCCAGAGCGACGCCGGGCAGCTGCTGGGATTCCACGGCCTCAAATCTGATCACTGGGATCACCCTCTGGCTGACCATTGCACCCCCGAACGGCCTGGCAGATCTCAGAGACAAAGAGCGGAGTTGTTACTAAGCAGGATGAGTGCATTGTGTTACATTTTCCTGGCAGAATATGACCCTAGGTATCATATGGCTCGGACTTCCTCCCATAAAGTGGGTGGGGGGACTTTTTAAATGATGCATGATACCCAGTCTGGTCATCTCTGATTCTAACTGCGGTTAACAGGAGGAAGCCACCCAGGGTGTGCTACTGAAAGTATGTTCAACCTTTTCTACTTGTGTAGCTGCTCTGACCATTAGAGTTCAGATTTAATTAAGGCTTCACAACTTTATAATAATCTTAAGAGTGTAAACGGATCCCCCCGCAGGGGGTACAGTTCCTGACTGGCTGGCAGAAATCGAGTGATTAACAGCCTTAATTGACTTAAGTCTGAGTTTGTCTTTCATATTTTTGTCCATTACTCCATCTGTCCGGGCTTAACCTTTGTACTGGCGCGCTGGTGTGATGCAATTCCTTGTGTGCTGTGAGAAAGGCGATTCCCTTTCGTGCGTAATCTGTTTTGCGGGGAAGGCATTTGAAGCTGGCAGCACCCTAGTGGATCACCTTTCAAGAACGGGTTTGAAAATAGCCATCATACAGCCACGCTCCAAGGAGGTGCAAGCCAGAGATTCATTTTCAAACTGTGGAAACATGGAGTGGAGCCGAGGGAAGAGATGATTGTGATGGATGACATGCTCAGGTCATGTGGCTCTATTTGAGGACGCCTGTGCTTCCAGCCGATAGGATCTAACTATTCATACATTTTAGATTAGTGATGTGAGCAGCAGAACATGTGGGAAGGCAGATTTACCTGTTGAAGCACCTGTAGTCTGAAGGCTGAGGTTTTTGTGGGAGCTCGGGCAGCTGGGTGTTGATGGCGTTAAGAAGCTCTACGTTGTTTCCCAAAGCGTTGTGCCATGGGGAAGTGTAGGATTTGGGGATTACTGTTGTGTTGAACTTCTCATGAGGAACTCCCTTCAGAGGGCCAGAATATCCTGACAAACAGATCTGATGTCACCGATAGTAAGATACAACAATGGGTAAAGAGAAAGATGTCTTACTTTGATCTGGGTAATTCTATCTTTTATATCCAGTGTAGGCAGAAAAAGGCCCTTTGTTTAGAGAAATTGACACTCCCTTGGTTTGAAACTAATTACAAAGCAAAAACAGATCTAATGCTCATTTAAAACTCTTTGATGCCACTCCTGTCAACAGTGGAGGCTACAGTAATTACATCTGTGTGAATCCCCGATAATAAACAGAGCTCAGATCAGATGTCAGTCAGCTTATAAGCACTGCCTTCTGTCAGGACTAATAGAGAACAGCACTCGGCAAAGATGGGCACATACTGTAGGTGCTTTCTGCACACTGCCAAAAGGAAAACTAATTTAATTGCTCAATACATTTCTATATAAAAATTGAACACTATCAAAGTTAGATACAGTGATCAGGCATGCCTTAGCATTTGGCTTTGCAGTGACTTTACCTGGAGCGAGGACGTCGGGACTGCCCTTCTTTGCTACAGTCTTCTGAAGGTTCATGACCAGGCTGTGCTTACCAGTGACCGAGAAAGTTTTGTTCTCTTTTCCCCCCTGGGGCTCTTGAATGATCTGTGGGGGAGGGACAGCCTCTGCATAGACCTGGGACATGGGCATTCATTTAAAGTGAGATTTATGTTGACATTTTAAAATGAATTTGTCACATTTTCAACCACGACAGGGAAAAATAAATATGAACGTTACAATTTTAAAGATACAAATGTATACATCTTATATAGGAACTAACATTTTAAAATGCATGCATGGTAAAGAAAGAAATTATACTAAATCATGCCAAATTTGTAAAAATGCAACTGTCAAGAGAAAGTCACAAAAACACACTTTATAAAGGGGGACTCTGATGTAACATGAACATTCAGTTTACTCGGTTTCAACGTGATACATCTTCCTGGGAAAACAGCTGTATAATGTCCTTTGTTGGCTCTAAAGGGAGCTTTCCTGAATGATGTAATTCGTTTTTGAGACTTTTTAAAAGAAACAAGATCCTCTAGTACTGTATTGTAGTAGAAACACAGGTACATCATCTTGGGTGTGTAG